GTCTCTACTAAAAATAGAAAGAAATTAGCTGGAAAACTAAATATATATAGAAAAAATTAGCCAGACATGGTGGCGCATGCCTGTAGTCCCGGCTTAGGGAGGCTGAGGCAGGAGGATCGCTTGAGCTCAGGGGTTTGAGGTTGCTGTAAGGTAGGATGACGCTGCGGCACTCAAGCATGGGCAACAGAGCGAGACTCTGTCTCAAAAAGAAAAACAAGAAAAGAAGTTCAAAGTTGGTGTTAGATGTCAGAACAATGGTCCCTGAGGGGTTGGGGGTTCCAGGGCCTGCAATGTTTTATTCCTGGGCTGGTTAGGGGGGATCCGTACACTTGTGACATCATCAAACTATCCACTTGGGAACCGTGTGCTTTTTTTGGTATGCATATTACGCTTCCATAAAAATATTTTTTTAAAAAAAAAACTCTCCTATCAAAAACAAAAAACAAAGTAGCCAAAATACCTGTCTGTAAAGTCACATCTCACAGAAAGAGTCCTTGGCAGAAGCATTAGGCATTTTTCAAACTTCACGTCTTCTGACCAGAATTTGCTGATTTTATGATTTCCACCCAGTTCTCTGGAAGTTTCTCTTGTCTTATGAATGTAGACAGTGCCCAAACATAGGTTTCATTTCTTTCCCAGGATTTTTTCCGTCCTCTCAGCCATCCTGTACCTGGGCAACGTCACTTACAAGAAGAGAGCCACAGGCCGAGAGGAAGGCCTGGAGGTCGGGCCCCCCGAGGTGCTGGACACACTGTCCCAGCTTCTGAAGGTACCGCTGCTGCCTCTGTCCCTTCTCGGGCCCAGCTCGGGGCTGCTGGCCCCCTCTGCATTGGGAGGTTTTGTGAACCAGGGCCTAGCTGCTTCCCTGTCATCTCTGCCACGTGTCTTCATTTCTGATGAATTTCCTGTACAGGGACACCTCCCACCTCAACCCTTCAGGCGAAAGGCTCTTTAAAACTATAGTTTGGTCAGGCGCAGTGGCTCACAGCTATAATCCTAGCACTCTAGGAGGCTGAGGTGGGAGGATTGCTTGAGGACGGGAGTTGAGACCAGCCTGAGCCAAGGGCAAGACCCTGTCTCTGAAAAAACAATAGAAGAATTAGCCAGATGTAGCGTCGTGCCCTGTAGTCCCAGCTACTCAGGAGGCTGGGGCAAGGGGGATCGCTTGAGCCCAGGAGTTTGAGGTTGCTGTGAGCTAGGCTGACGCCACTGCACTCTAGCCAGGGTGACAGAGTGAGACTCTGTCTCCAAAAAAGCCCCAAAACTGTAGTTTGATCAACAAGGTCGTTTTCTCATTGAACCTGCCATCCCCTCATCCACTGGCTCTCAACCAGGAGCAGTTCTGCCCCGGGGGACACTGCAATGTCAGATCTTTCTGGTCATCAGACTCAAGGGTGCTCCTGGCACCTAGTAGGTGGGGGCCAGGGATGCCACAGTGCACACAACAGCTGCCCACGGCAGGGAATGATCCAGCCCCAAGGGCAGAAGCCATGGAGAGGCCAGGAAGCCCCACCTCCATCTTTCTGTTTACTAAGCACGTTCTCACTGTGGCTTCTCTTCAAGAAGGCCTGGCCGGGCGCGGTGGCTCACGCCTGTAATCCTAGCACTCTGGGAGGCTGAGGCTGGTGGATTGTTTGAGGTCAGGAGTTTGAGACCAGCCTGAGCAAGAGCAAGACTGTCTCTACAAAAAAAATAGAAAAATTAGCCTGGTGCGATGGTGCGCACCTGTAGTCCCACCTCCACTCCGGGAGGCCAAGGCGGGAGGATCATTCAAGGTCAGGAGTTCGAGACCAGCCTGAGCAAGAGCGAGACCCCGTCTCTACTAAAAATAGAAAGAAATTAGCTGGAAAACTAAAAATATATAGAAAAAATTAGCCAGGCATGGTGGCTCATGCCTGTAGTCCCAGCTTAGGGAGGCTGAGGCAGGAGGATTGCCTGAGCCCGGGAGTTTGAGATTGCTGTGAGCTTAGGATGACACCACGGCACTCTAGCCTGGGCCACAGAGCAAGACCCTCTCTCAAAAAAAAAAGTGGTTAAGACAGTGAATTTTATGTTTATTTTGCCAAGCTTAAAAAAATTCTTTTTTAAATTTAAAAACCACACAGTGTACCCTCTACACCTGCCCAGATGGATGGCCGGCGTGTACGCTGGCTTGCCTTCAGGAGGGCATCCACTTTGGAAAACCGTTTGGCAGCTTCTGCTATAGCTATTTATACACAAAAAAACTTGTACATTTGTTCACCGACAGACACGCACACAAATGCTCACAGCATCTTCATTTATAACAGCCAGAAATATTGGAAACTGCCCCTCAAATGCCCAGCAACAGGAGATTAAGTAAATAAACAAATTGCAATGTGCCCGTGCAGGGGTCGGCAAACTTTCTCTAAAGGGCCAGATAGTGAATATGGCAGGCTCTGCAAGCCAGATGCCCGGTGTTGCATACTTTCTGTTTCATTTTGTTTTGTTTTTTAACAGCCCTTGAAAAACTTAAGAACCATTCTTAGTTCTGGAGCTGTGCAAAAATGGGCTATATGTAGGACATCATTTGCCGACCCCATGACCCCTCCCCTCCACAGGCCGCTGTTCTCACCCAGGGTAATTTCAGTCCCCAGGGGACACTTATTGATGTCTAGAGACTTTCAGGGTTTTCAAAACTGCTGGGGGCAGGGTTGCTACTGGCATCTAGTGGGGGGAGGCCAGGGATGCTGTTCAACAGCTTACAGTGCATGGGACAGCCCCCATAGCAAAGGAAGGTCTGTCCCCACATGTAAGCACTGCCAAGGCTGAGAAACTCTGGTCTGCACTATGCAGAATGAACAAGCCAGTGCTACCTACAATAATGTGCATGAGAGCCAGGCATGGTGGCACTCGCCTGTAGTCCCAGCTACTCAGGAGGCTGAGGCAGGAGGATCATCTTAAGGAGGCCAGGTGGTCAAGGCTCCAGTGAGCTGTGATCATGCCTGTGAACAGCCACTGCACTCCAGCATGGACAGCATAGACAGTCACTGGCCAGACACAAGTACACAAAATTTCAAGTTCACAGACTCAGCTGGTGTGGTGGCTCATACCTGTAATCCCAGCACTTTGGGAGGCCGAGGTGGGAGGATCACTTGAGGCCAGGAGTTTGAGACCAGCCTGGGCAAAACAATAATTATAAATAAATATTAAGAAAAAAAAGTTCAGCCAGGCTCAGTGGCTCACACCTATAATCCTAGCACTCTGGGAGGCCAAGGC